GCGGCCGCGAGGCGGCCGCGCGTATTGGCTGACCCGTGTTTGCGAAGATCTGCGCTGCAGTTTTTCTCTTGCATTGCAGTTTTTGGTTTCCTGCTGGCCCGGTCTTGGATTGGCCCGGGTCAGAAGATCCCCGATCGTATGGTTATTCAATGAAGATTCGAATTCGGATTATCGCGCGCGGTTTCTTTTGTCACAGATGCCGCATGAATGGTCCCAGAAGCCATGTTCCTTGGCGAAGATATCTGAATGCAGCTTCCTCAGCGCATTGTCCATAGTACGATAGCTTGTTCTTAATACAGACGTCATTCTAAAAATGCCTTAACACAGATTCCTTAACTCAGACCCCCCTCGTAACGATTCTTACGTGGGGATCTCTCCGTGGAGATCCATTACTAGGGGTTCCTTTCTAACCACCCCTGGGACAGAATTCCTAAGTAACGGTTCCGTAGTAAAGATCTCTTACCAAGAATTCGTTGGTAATGATTCTCTTGTGAATATTCCTTCGTGAAGTCTCCTTAGTGCATATTCCCGTCTAGGGATTCCTGCGCGAAGCCTCCGCCCTAAGAATTCCCATTTCAGATTCATTACCATGGGCTCCTTTAGAGGCGGCCCCTGATCAAAAGGGCTCCTACGTACATACTCCTTACGCATGATTCTTTATAACAGATGTCTCACCATGGATTCCATAGCAACGGACCTGTGACCAGGATTATTACATGAAGGTCCGTTACGGATGGGTCGTTCAGACAAGCTCATGCACAACATTGTCAGTTCGAAGATTCTTCGTTCAGGGTCATTCCGTAAAAACTGATCAGTCCGGATTTTTCCGCGATGGTTATTGAACCAGGGTTCCTCAGCATTTGTTCTTCAGCACAGATTATTCGATTCCAATCGTGGCTTAACGGTGCCAGGGAAATGCATGAGCAGGGCCAGTCATTGCCGAGCGCCGCTAACCAACGCCAACCAATGCCGAGCACGAGCAGCCAATGTCACTGACTCCGAGCCAACGTCAAGCAGTGCCAAGCATGACCAACTAAATCCCAACAGCGCCAAGCACGACCAACCAATGCCAAGCACGACCGCCCAATGCCAAGCACTGCCTACCAGTGCCAGGCACTTGCAAGAGCAGCACCACACATTGCCAGGCACCGTTAAACATGGCCAACCAGCGCCAAACACCACCATGTAATGCCATGCGCGACCAAACAATGAAAAGCATGACCAACCAATGCCACGCAATGCCAAGCACGACTGCTCAATGCCGCACACGATCAGGCAGTGCCAAACAATGCTAAGGTCGACCCTTCGATGCCACGCACGATCGCACAATGCTGTGCACTGCCGACCACGAACAACCAATGCGAAGCAAAGCCGAGCACGATAATTCAATTGCAAAAACAGAAAGGCAACGCCAGACACAACCAACCAATGGCAATCAGGACAACAAGATGGCAATCAGCCCCATCCATGACCAGCCAATGCCAAGCAATGCCTCGTCCACTAGCACTGGAGCGTCGGGCATCCGACCAGGGTTCTTCCACTGGGGCCACCCGTCTGAAACAGATGCCGCGAGGGCCACCGCACGCGCGCCGCCATCGACGAACGAACAAAAAACGCAAGGGACAGGCACAGTGGGGAGGAGGACCAGGAGGCCTCAGGGGCGCCACAAGACATCGGAAGCGGGGGTGGCGGGGCTGGTCCTCGAAACCATTAGCAGCGGCCTGGGAGAAGTGGATGGGGGGGGGGGGAATAAATCCCCCCTCGCTCTTGGCGATATACTGTTTCGTTGTTCCCCCCCCAAACAAAACAAAGAACGAGAAACAGGCGCCACAGGAGGAATCTGCACCGCTGCCGTCCATGAGGGGGGGATGGGGGGAGGGAGCTCCGCTCGTGTTCCTCAGCTCCCTCCTGTTCCTTCGCGGTGGCCGCACGATGGCAAGTTGTTCCAAGCATGACCAGCCAATGCCAAGCAATGCCTCGCCCACCAGCACTGGAGGATTTCATCAGCAATGGAGCACCCCCAAATCATACAGGGCATCATGCCAGGTTTCTTTCACATGAGCCACTAGTCTTAAAGAGATGCCGTCAGGGCCACCGCAAGCGCGCCGCCGTCGACGAACGGAAAGACGCAAAGGGACAGTCAAAGGGGGGAGGGCGACCAGGAGGCTTCAGGGGCGCTATGGGACATCGGAAGCGGGGGTGGCGGGGCTGGCCTTCGAAACCACTAGCAGCGGCCTCGGAAAAAAAAGGAGGGGAAATGGGGGAAACAATCAACTAGCACACACACACACACATCATTTTGGCGGCTCCCCCCCAAACAGGCGCCACAAGAGGAATGTGCATCACTGTCGTCACTGCGGTCCACGAGGGGGGAAGAGGGGGAGGGAGTCCCGTCCCTTTTCCTTCGCCTTCTCTAAAGAGAAGCGGCCTCGGAAAGGGGGGGAACGGGGGGAAGGGAGCGAGCGGCGGCTTCGGAGAGGGGGGGGGGACAACAAAAATCCCCCCCATGGCGAATTTATCTCCCAAAACAAACAGTCGCCACAGGAGGAATGTGGATATTGCCGTCCACGAAGGGGGAAAGGGTGAGGTGAGCTCCGTCCCTTTTCCTCCGCCTCCTCCTGTCCTTTCCTCCTTCTCCTTTTCTGCCTCAGTACGTCCCTCGCCGTCCCCGCCTCCTTCGCCTCTCCCCTCCTCGTCGCTCCCTCCTCCTTCGCCTCTCCCCTCCCCGTTGTCCCCTTCCTTTCCGCGCCCCCAAAAACCGCAACCCCGGAATCCCCCGTATTGGTCTGGGGGGGGATACGGGCCGCACCCGTTCCGCCAGGACCACGCCAGCAAGGCTTGGCGCCGCTCTCGCGCGCGCTTGCGCTTGCGCGGGCGCGGCGAGGACTTGCCCCTGTCAGGAGGCGGTCGAGAAGGACAAATGGCATAAGCATAAAACGTTCGGAGGTTCGCGCGAATTTTTGGATCGGTGCTGGCCTCCCCCTCAGTGGGGCACCAAACGCATCAGGGGGGTCCAGCGCCGATTCAAGAATTCGGATTGGATCTCCGACCGTATTATGTTCATGCCGTGTCTCTCGTTCTCTCTTTCTCTATAGTGTTATATGTGCCTTCTCTTTTTTTTTTTTTTTTTTTTTTCTCTCTCTCTCTCTCTCTTATCTCTTTTTGTTGTTCTCTCTCTCTCGCCCTGTTCCTATGGCTCTCTGTTTCCATGGCTTCTCGCTCTCTCTCTCTCTCTCTCTCTCACTCTCTGCATCTCTCTGTCTGTTTGTTTTTCTCTGTTGTCCCTCTCTCTCTCTCATGATCCTTCTTGCCTCCCCTTCTCTTAGTATGGACATACCTTATATGTCTGGCGACCAGGTCTCTGGGCCCGGGACCCCCCCCAATTGTTCGGAATTCTCCCCCTCCCTTCCCCCTGGTAGCTCACTGTTTCCCGGGCGTCCAGGGTTTTGCCTGGGGTCTTTAGGAGGCCATGCTGGCTTCCAGAGATTCCCAAGTCGGTTCAGGGAGGCGGCTCACTCTTCCCAGGAGGCCCCTGGGCGTCCCCAGGAGGCTTCCAGAGCTCCACGGAGCTAGCAGAGGACCCCTTGATTGCCCCAAGCAGGTCCCAACATTGCTCTTCTGCAGTCCCCTGGAGCCTTGCGAGGACGCCCCCCAGAGGGCTTCAAATCTGAAAAAAAAACAAAGTGTGTTCTTCTACGTGTTTGGCTTGATCGTTGTTTCGCTTCTGATAGGGCTTTCAAGCCTCACAATTGCAAGATGCATCCGAGACGGCCTTATGGCGGCCGAAGGTGCTCCCGAGAGTCCCTTGAAATGCCCCAAGAAGTCCCCGAGGCAGTTTGAAGCGGCCCAACGAGAGCTCCAGCAGGGCCCCAAGTGGCCCCCGAGAGGCCCCAAGAAGCCCCAGGGTGCCCAAAAGAAGTCCAAAGAGGCCGCAACCGGCCCCTGACCGGCCAACATTGCCTCCAAGAGGCACTCCCGAAGCTTCCCAGGAGACCCCATGAAGCATCCAAGATGTTTCTGGCCCACAGCCCAGGCACGGTAGCGGCTTCACCTGTTCCTCTTCTTTTTATGTTTTGGCAAATGCCATCCCCAAGCGAGCTTCGCGGGAGCCCGAAAAGAAGTTCAAGATGGCCGAGTCAGTTGGCCCTAAGGGAGGCCAAATACGGCTCTACGATCACAGAAAGCGTCTTCATGCTAGCTAGGATGGTCCGAAGACGTCCCACGGCATTCCTTCGACGGCCCGAGGAAGGCCGAAGGAAGGCTCAGGAAGCGCACGCTGTTCCAAGAGGCTCCCAACATGTCACCCTAACATGGCCCTACACTTCATCCTCCTTCTTTCCCTCGTTGTCGCCGTCGTCGTTGCCACCGATGAAGGCCCGAGACTCGAACATTCGGAGGCGTTGGAAGTCGCAGCCCCGCGCCTCCTGCTGGCTGGCTGGTACGTGTATCGTGTCGTTGCCGAGGTCGGGTGCTTGAGAGAACCTGAGCGCGCGAAGCGCGCACGGTTCCAGCATATAGTAGTTGTATATCATTCGTACCATACGTGTACCAGTCACGAACGGGACGTTGCGCGATACCACGTTGGGATGGTGCTCGGTAGTCCAGAGTATTGGTAGCGCGATGCACATTTACATGTCTCATTGCATGTAGTTTGATTCCCTTATGTCCATTCAGTCTGTTTTTTAACAACGAATGATACCAGTGTCTTGGAGACGCAGGCATCCCAGATCAGTGACAGCTTGACACGCATCGGCGAGTACCAAGATCAGGCGATCCCGCATTATTTATGCGTTGGCAGTGGTTTTGCTTTTCATGATTGGAAGTCTCACGGCATGCTCGCAGCAACGTCATTCATGTGGTTCGCCAGCTTGTTGAGTGATCATTCAGTATTGTTATTTCGCGCATGCCACTAGCTCGGTGCAGGGTGGTTCCAACCACATGTTGCGTTTCGTCTTCCTCGACGGGGGGGGGCGTCACAGCTTGGTGCCGAAACCGAGGCAATGGCTCTCGAGATCTTCGCCCAGAACAGGACCCATGGCGGCAATTGCAACAAGGGGAAGCGTGCTGTCTCGGCCCGAGCACCGCATGCACACAAGTTGTTTCTGAGTATGGGTATGTTGATTGTGACCCACATCCGCTGGCATCGGCGCCCCCCCACGGGCGCGCGCGCGGTGAGGAAGAGGAGGAAGAACGAGGGAGGCGCCGGTGGAGGGGGGGAGAGGAGGAGAATGAAGGGTAGATATTTTAGGGCGATTGAGATGGGTGAAGGCGAAGGGGGGCGATGAGGAACGGTGTTGGGAAAGCACTGCATCCTTTCAGCGGGTAGTATGGAATGCAGAAACGCAATCATATATGACCATATTGTTCAACGAGGTGTCCAGCAAGATTCACGATCTGAGAAAAACGACTCCCCCACCGGTGTGCACAAGTTTACGCCTCTGGCCATGAATTTCGGTTGTGGCCTCTGGGTGCGGCCAGTTTGGCTTGATGAAGTCATTACATACCTTTGTGAAGGCGGACAACACAGAGACATCAACATAATTAGCTGCCTTTGTCGACGTTGTTTGCAGAGAGTTTCCAAGCACTCATGGGTCCGCTTTGGGGCCTCTTGAGGGCCTCCTGGGGACCTCGTCTGGATTTCTTCTTTGGCTTCTCTGGGAGCTTCTGGGGGGCTTTTTGGGAGCCCCTTGGGGATTTCTCGGGGGCTCGCTTGGGGCTTCTTGGGCGGGGCCTCTTCGAACTTGTTGTAGCGTTTTGGTCATCTCTGGTGGGCCTCGTGGGGGCATGGCGGGCCGTCCTGGGGCGATCTTGACGGCTAGCCGTCCTGGACGCCGTCAAGACCAACATGGCGAGAACGCTAAACTTTGTACGAAATATGATACGCTTTAACAGTTTAGCCCCTCGGTGGCGTCCTTGTCGGCTCCTTGAAACCCTTGTGGGTCTTCTTGGCGGCCTTTTGTGGCTGTCTTGGGGCCATCGCGCCCGTCATTGAGACGGCGCCACCGTTGACGCCGTAGAGGGCTAGATTGCCCGACATGGAGCCAGGAGTGGCCGTCTTGGAGTCCATGTTGGTTCATCTTGGCCCTCTTGGAGGCCCTCGTGGAGCCGTCATGGGGCAGGTGGGCGCCCCGGGAGGGGACAGGGTTCACAGACCCTCCCTCAAGTTTGTATGTAAGACAGATCCTGACTGCGAAGGCCAAACACGCACGGACTTGGGCAACAAAATTATCACATCTTGGTCTGGATCTGGGCGGCCCTAACTATTGTTTTGCCAGAGGCGAAAGTGACGAACAGAGCAATGACCCGACACACTTACCGCTGCAAGCGCGGTGGAGCCCCACTCCGAAAAAGAACCACCCTCCATCCGTACAGCTGTTGATCAAAGACGGGATAGGGGGGTCCCCCCCAGTGGACCAAACTTTGCCAAACACCTTAGGACAAACATTGATCAGTGCCTTTGTCCCAACCATCCTGTGGTGTCGGGCCTTCACTTCGTTTTGAAGAAGCAGCGCCCCGCGTCCTCCTCCTCCTCCGCCTCCTCTTCTTCCAGCCCCCTCCTCTATTGTGCGCATCCTCTCTCCGCATAGCAACCAGTCGATCACACCCCTCACACGCTTCGGGGCCATGTAGGACACTCCACCGAAGGCCCCAGTAACGACGCTCGCATGCGTCCACAAAACCGTACAGCGTTTCGTGGTCCCACAGGGAGCTCCACCGAAGGCCCCAGTAGCGACATTCGCATGCGTCCGCCCCACCCAGTACAGCGCCTCGTGGCCCTACAGGGAGCTCCACCGAAGGCCCCAGTGGCCACGTTCGCATGCGTCCGCCCCGCCCAGTACAGCGCTTCGTGGCTCCACAGGGAGCTCCACGAAACGCATTCTCTCATACATCCACATCAACCGCCTACCGGCGTCCCGGAAGATCCCCCAGGAGGTGGTTATGAAGAAGTATTCGCAGCAGGGAAGCGGGGGCGTGTCGTGGGTTTCTGTTCTGGCCTTCGCCTTCCCTGCGGCTCGGTCCTTGGGATTTTCCACGATCCGTGTCCTCGGATTCTGAATTTCGTGCCCTGTCCGCTCTCGGAGGCACAGGGGAGGGGCACAAGAGTGGGAACGTCAAGCCCAACCGCTCATTCGTGGCAAATCGGGGCTTGGGTGCCCCGCTCCGCCCAAGAACATGGCTTCTGCCATCGCTGGACTACCACCGACCAATCGGCGGAAGCCACGCAAGCTATAGAGAACCCGTAGCAGTACAACGACAGAGGTACAGATGTTACACAAGCATTGCGCAGGCCAGGCAAGCATTACGGAAGCCCTAGAAGTACAATGAGAGCCACACAAGCATTGCGAAAGCCACACATTTCCAATGGGGACCAGACATCGCCCATTACAAGTAAATGTCCCCCCCCCGAGCCCGTCTTCCCCCCTTCGTTCCCCGTCCAGTAGGAGGAGGAGGAGGAGGAGGAGGAGCAGGAGGAGGTGGAGGAGGAGAAGGAGGATGAGGAGGGGGAGGAGGAGGATGAGGAGGGGGAGGAGGAGGGGGAGGAGGATGAGGAGGAGGAGGAGAAGGGGGGTCTAATGCCTGCGGAGACGTGTTCCTGGGACGTCGAAAGGGTGTGCCGTTTTGTTGCGGTGTTCTGGGCCCCTCGGTTGGTGCGAGTCGGCAGTGCGCTCTTAGGGCGGGGAATTCGGGCAAGTGTCAGTTGGCGGCGCACATAAGGGGGTTGCGCGAGGAGGGCTGCTTACTAGGAAGGTGGCGAGGCGTCTCAGCAGACACGGTCCCGGGCCTTCTAAGAAGGTTGCTTAGAAGCGATGATGGTTTCTAGAAGCCTCCGGTCTTCTTTGAAGCTTTCCCGCCTTCTTAGAAGGCTGCTCCCTCGCGCTACCCCCGCTATGCGCGCAGCCAAGTCAGGGTGCGCTGTCACAGGGAGGCCGTCAGGATCGAGGTGGAGGCCAGTCACACCGATGATGTATTTGGCGGTGCTGTGGCAGGCGAACGGTGATGAATGGCGGAGTTAATAAGTTACCAGACGGAGGTAGGCAATGTGAGTGAGAGTATGGGCATACAGGTATGGCCTTCGGCCCATCTGGCCACTGTGTCTGGGATGCAGATCAGATGCCTCTTGGATTCTCGTGGTGATTTCGTGGGCCTCTCGGAAGCCTGTTGGAGGGGTTTGGGGGTGCTTTGGGGCCTCTTGGGGGTATCTTAGGTGGCTTCTTGGGGCCTGATTTGGGCATCTAGGGAGGTCTCCTTGGGGTCATCTTGGGACGAGTGCGCGAAATGCCAGCTCGAGTTCCCCCTCTCGGGGTCGTCTTGGGCCCTCTGAATGTCCCCTGGAACCTTTTTGGAGCCCTCGTTGGCCGTTGAGGGCCCTCTCTGGGGCACCTTGGGCCGTTTCGGGGTGATTTGGGGAGCCTCTTGTGCCGTCGTTGAGCGTCGAGAGCCCGGGAAGGCGAGAGCGCTACGACCTTTCATCAACCCCAGGCAAGCCAATGTTTTGGGAATCTCTAGGCCTTTTTTGGTCGCCTTCGGGGCCTGTCGCGCCATCTGGAGGCCATCTCGGGCGTCTTGGAGCCCCAGTGGCCCGTCTCTGAGGCCTCTTCGGCCCATCTTGGGGTCTCTTGGAGCCCTCTTGGCCCATCTTGGGGCCCTGTTGCCCCTGGAAAGTCTCGCGACAAATGCGCCAGAACGCACCACCCCCCAAGACATCTTGTGTTTTAGGGGCTCAGGCCCCTATCAATGGCGCCGGCGCGACCCCCATTGCGTAGGGGAGCGTTTCCTAAGCGACATTGTTTGGCATTGCATGGGTTTGGCACAGCACTGCTTTGCATTGCTTGACATTGCTTCGCATAGCTTGACAGAATGTGGTACTCCTTGACATTGCTTTGCTCTGCTCGGCATTGCATTGTTTTGCATTGCATGACTTGGCGTTGCTCTGCATTTCATGGAAAAGCATTGCCTGGCCTTGCTTTGTATTGCCTGACAGTGCTTGGCATTGCCTGGCATTGCTTTCATTGCTCTGCGTTGTTTGGCATTGTGTTGCATCACTTGGCGTTGTATGGCAGTGCTTGGCATTGCTTGGCATCGTTTGGTCACGCTTGGATGTGTTTTGTGCATTACTCGGTATTGCTTGGGTTTGTTTGTGTTTGCTTGGCTCTCCTTGGCATTGGTTGGCATTGTTTTGCACCGCTTGGAATTAATGTGCACACTTATATTGTTTGGCATTGTTTGGCATTGCTTGAGAACCAGGGGCACGCCACATCAAAACCAGATGAACAAGACCCAAGGATCCCAGGGAACGCGTGGAAGGCTTGCCAGCGCAGGCCGCGCACCCACCCGTTATTCAAACACATTGCAGGGCCCCCAGGCACGCCGAATTGGAAAAGTTCAGTCCTCAGGATTGAGGGCAGAAGGCTTCAGGGACCTCAGGACACTTCAACTCGTTCCGCGCGACACGGATAAGATTATGGAGCACATGCGCATCTGTGAAAACAAACAAATATTATTGACAGACGATTTCGGTACGTGCAGAGGGAGTTGTTGATGACAATTCTTCATATAGTCGACGCGCTCCGGCGTGTAGTGGCGTATCCATGCATGTGCTGAAGCATGTAATTTTACATGCGCGTGCCAAGATGGATCCAGCGAAGTCGTTCACGATTGGTCGTCGGTTGAAACAACGATAGGTGAGTGCATGAGCAAGTCCATGACGTGTTGCCAGAGGGGGCTCAGAATCGATGCAGAACGGCTGGGAGTGGGTGCATGAGCAAGTCCATGACGTGCTGCCAGAGGGGACTCAGAATAGATGCCGAACGGCTGGGAGGACAGACCTGGTGAACCTCATGGAATTTTCAGGCTTGCGGGGATGGTGGTGGCTGTCTGACTAGGGTGCCAGTGTTTACACAAACAAATGGCCTTCGGCCTAACCCGCCACCGTGCGTGGGTTGTGGGTCAGAGTCCTCAGGAATGCCTTCTTGGGGGCAGGTCTCTTCGGAGCGCTCTCGGAGGCCTCTTGGGGGCAGTTTTGGGGCCTTTTGGGGGCCTCATGTGGTCTCCTGGGGTCCTCTCGGGGCCGGATGCTCGAAATGTCCGTTCGCCCCACCCTGTCGGGGCCTCTCTGTAAGCGTCTTGGGGGCCTCTTGGGCCCTCTGGAGCCCCTGTTGCGCCGTTTGGGGGCTCTCCTGGGCTGTGTTGAGGCGCTCTTTTGGGGCCTCTTGGGCCGTCTTGGAGCGTCGGGAAGCCGAAAAGGCAAGAACGCCAGCTTTCAATGGAACTGCTTAGCTGTATGAGCGAGCGGGAGCAAAGAAGTAGAGAGCGGATCCGCGGCCGTTTTTGCTCAAATGTCGACACCATGCTAGATTTAGTCACCATGACTATTAATTTTGTGCAGGATCGGATACTTATGTATCTTTGCATAGTCATACCATGACGAGGCTTAGTCGTGAGGCACCTGTTCGACTTGGTCGCGGAGTTGGCTATACGTTTACGTGGTTGGCTCTGTTGTTTACAAGGTTCCACGGCACTATATGGATGACCACTATGGACTACCATGCGCCGGCCCGGGGAACAAAGCCAGGAAGCAAGCGTGGGTAGTTCGGCAATGGGCCGGTGTTCGGCAACGGGCCTGCGCCTGGCAACGAGTCTACCAGGACCGCTACGCTTGCTTCTACCACCATGCAGACTCGCAAGACTATCTTCGGTGTATAGTTATATACAGATGTCACTATACCACGGTTCTACGCTTCTTTGTTCCGCACTACAGTTACGATAAGCTTTGCACCGGGCCGTCATAAGTTGATCCACCGCTAAGCAACTATGCAACGCAAGTACACATTCAACCACAGTCTTTGCGACGTTTAACAGGTGAGCATAACGTCAAGAAAACAGATCACCCCAACAAGTCCTTGGCACTCACCCGCTGCTTTAAGATTACCCGATTTGGAACCATACGGGTTGCATTGGGGCTGGTTGCAGCCTGCATGCAGCGTGCTGCAGACGACGCTACACTAACAGAGGGACCTCACTGGGACCCTGCGGGACCGTACCTTTCAGGACATGCGCCCAGGAGGCCCACGCGCGGCTCAACGTCACAAGCGGCCCCTTCACACCACAACAAACAAGCGGCCGCGTTACACAGATGCCATGGTTGCCTGACTAGCATCATAGCAATACGAACCTCATTGTTTACGCATTATCAACGACGAAGTAGACATCAATGACGTGAACACAATCCTTTTTACGTACCTCGTGTACGTAGTAAGCGACACATGTGAACATCCCGAAGACGAGCGCCAGATAGACCCGAGTACCCGACTCATTGACTTCAATATGTTTGCAACGGAACGGGTCGTTTGGACACAAGTTAATTATGTGCGAGATGGCCAGGGTCGAGGCACGGCCAGTTTGTTTCGACATCCCTAATCTCCAGATCCTGACCACCATAGTGTTTCGAGACCAATATATAGGGCCAATACGAGCTTCGCACATGTTGCAGCCGCTGAACCACCAAATGCTCAGGATTCAGGTGGAGTATGACTCCTTGCTCGAACGGATGCGTTCCTTCGGCATTGTTGCCGAAAGATCCCATGGGGACATCGGTGGGGTGCTTGGCCGAGGACGCGGCAGCGCGTCGCATTATGCCAACTTCCAAGCATTCATGCGTCCCTCAGTCGTGTGGAAGATACTGCAACTGGCCGCAACATATGGTCAGACAACCCCACAGAAGGCACGGCCCTCGCCTCTGGCCAGGCAACTGGCAGCCAGGCAGCTGGTAGCAACGATTGGACATGGAATCCAGACACCACCACATCGCAGCCATTTGCGACCCTTTGCGGCCAAAATGGCCCAACTCGATTAACTTTACCCTTCAGCTCAGGCACAGATGCGGATACAGAATCGTCGGGTGGTGTGGAACCAGTTGACCATTCAGACATACCAACATACTTTACCGACGAGCAAAAGGTTGAGTGCCTGTACTGTGCCATGCGTGCTGCGAAGAGGCAGTGTATGCGGTTCATGCATCAGCAAGTGCGACGCGTGCGCAGACACATGCGACGTGCGATGTACATAAAGGAACGCAGCAAGGGCAGGGGCGGAAAGAGGGGCACATCCGCGGCCGTTTAAGCTCAGGTGCCTACATCAGGATATGACTAGGCAGCATGGTTACTGCTTGGGCACAGGAAACGATATGGATATACCCTCACATCGCCTCATCATGGCGAGCCTCAGTCGTGAGGCACCTTTGGCCATCTGAAGGGAACCGAAACCAGTCTGCAAGCCTTCTGGGGCCGTCCCGGGGCATTACTGGACCCTCCGGGGCGCTTCTTACGCATTCTGGGATTTGTTTCGGGCCATCTCCGACGGGGTCACCATTCCGGAGGCCCACGCCACACGCCCCAGTAGCGCCCAAGTCGTGTTGAAGAGCGCCCAAGAGAGCCTGGGAAACTGGGTGTCGGGGCCGTTGGCCTCTCAGGGTGGTCCGAGCCATGAGGCACTCCACTTCGTGGTAGAAGCACGTCGGCGAATACCAACCTACTCCGCATGCTTTCCTCGCCCTCTCCCGCGCCTGACGGTGCAAATATGAGGAAGACGCGTACCCAGCAGCGATCATTCATGGCTCACGCGAGAGAATTCACTTGTACTGCTTTCGTGTTAGGAGGTTGCCCTCCCTCGCCCAGCGGGCATTCGAAACATTCAGCACCTGACGTTCGTGGGAAGACATGAGGGCGAAACAGAAAAACTGGTTGGGGAGAGAGCATTGCAACGCGCAGCTTCGGCTAACAGGACACGACACATGCCATGGGACAATTCAAGGTGATCTTACAGTCGGGGCCCTGAAGAAGGAACCCTTTTCGTTGGGGAGGGGCTCCGCGTTCCCTAAGTGTTTCGGAGCTTGCCTCAGGCTTTCCTGGTGTTTTCGATCGGAAATCGAAGGTGAACTTATGGAAAAAAAGGGGCCTCGTTCCTTATTTAGGGTTCCTTAGGGCAACGCCCCGACTGTATCGGTGAAGGCCACCTCGGTCGCACAAGCACGGGTGCCCATCATATGGCCCCGCCGTGCTCGGGCAAAGCGTTCTTTTGGGAGGCACGCGGAGAAAGGGCAAGCAGGCCACATCAGCATGAAGAGAAGGAGGAAAGGCAAACACAAGAAATGGGAGAGGGGAGGGAAGGACAGCCAGAGCATGAGGACGGCGGGGGGAACGTGGATGACGCAGAGCACGACTAGGAGAGCACGGGTAGGGGAAAGGGAGGAAGAGGGCCCCATGAGGACGGCGGCGGCGGCGACTTCGACGAGGAGAGGAGTGAACGGGGGAGGCGGACGAGGGGCAACGTACGTTGCGGACGGCGGACGAGGCGGACGAGGGTAAGGAGGAGGACGACGAGGAGGAGGTCGTCGTTTGCCCCGTACGTGTCGGGAGGAGAAATGCACGGCAGACGAGGCGGAACAGCAGGACGAGAGGGACACGAGGAGGAGGAGGAGGAGGAGGAGGAGGAGGAGGAGGAGGAGGAGAAGGAAGGAAGAGGAGGGAGGAGGAGGGAAGAGGAGGAGGAGGAGGAGGAGGAGGAGGAGAAGGAGGAGGAACGCGGCGACGATCATGACGACGATTGCGGCGCTGATGGCGGCGGCGACGACGAAAACGACGGCTTCGTCGTCGACGGCGACCGCGTCGACGATGGCGGCGACACGGCGACTATGACGACAGCGACGGCGGCGGCGACGGCGTCGACGACGACGGCGGCGGCGGCGGGTGCCGTGCGCGCGCCGCGCGCGCGCCGGCACTCGCAGGGAGCCCGCGGCGGCACCAGCTCGCCCAGCAGGCGGGTGCGCTGGGGGGGTTCCGCGGGTCGGACGGGGCTTCCCTCGGGAGCCCCCAAGAAGGGGCGGTGGCCCCACGGCGTGGTGAGTCAGTGGGGATCCGGGGTTTCCACGCATCCAGCACGGCCGTAGTGCTCCCTTATATCGCTTCAAGACGGCCACATGGGCCCCTCAGTGAGGCATCAAAGTTGCCCGGGAGAGGCCGAAGACGGCCCACGAAGCGCAAAAAACGGCCCACGAGAGCATCGACTGTGGCATTTCGAGGGACCCAGAAAGGAGGATTCGAATTCGTTTCGAGCGATCCGCCCCAAGGTGACCCCCAGGACCGCCAGCAGGCCCCAAGAAACCCTCAAGAAGCCCCCAGGACGCCCAAAAGAGCCTCCAAGAATCCCCCAAAAAGCCCTTCAGACGCTATTGTTTCTAAGACGCTCACCAAAGGGCCTTCCCAAAAGAGCCGAACATGCATCCAAGAGGCTTTCGACCCATAGCCCAGGCACGGTGGCGGTATTTTGCTTGCCAAGCCTTTTACATTTGGCCCCAGGCCATCCCCAAGCGAGCCACGCGAGGGTCCCAAGAGACATGTTCTAAAAAATAAACGCCAGGGCACAAAGATCCCACACTCCAGCGACACTTCCTGGACGGCCCAAGGGAACCCGAAGAAGACCCTCCCAGAAAACCAGGATGGACCCCAAAGACTCCTCACAAGATAACCTCAACATTACTATACATACTCCTCCTCCCTCTTTGTCATCGTCGTCGTCGCCCTCGTCGTCGTCGTCGTCGTCCTCACGGGGGGAAGCCTGAGATAAGAAAATCTCAAATCGTCGGTGGCAGGTACCAGAGGGGGACGGGGGAAGAGGGCGAGGAACTGGAGGACCAGGAGGAGAAGGAGGATGAGGAGGAGGAGGATGAGGAGGAGGATTAGGAGGAGGATGAGGAGGACTAGGATAGAGCTCGGCAGCCAGGAGTCCCAGCGCCGTGGCAGCCTGCGCGCCGAGAGGCACCCAACACGCCCCGACGTTTCGATCCAAGTAAGAGGCGTGCCGACACAGGCGGGGCGGCGGGATGCGAACCGTAGCTCTGGGGCTGTCGGTGGAGCTCCCAGTGGGGTACGATCCGTGTGATGGCACAGGGGGACGTGACGTCATGCGACTCCTCCCAACAGGGCCGCACGTGAACCGACATCCCTTTGGGGCACGATCCGTGTAAACGGCGTGCCGATTTGGGGGTATGGAGGGAGGGACGTCATGCAAACTTTGTCCCTGGACCCGAGAGTGGAGCTCACGGGGAGGCACGATCCATGAGGGCCGTGCCGACATTGGCGGTGGGACGCTTTGTGAACTCTGCCTTCAGCTGGGGCCGTAGGTCCCGGCTCAATCCGTATGATTTCCCACCCGACAGGTTGGGGTTCTTAGATTTCAAGAACAGGTCCCCCGGCCAACCCCACCCTGCATACCGCGGCCGCCGAACACCAATGTGTCCCGGTGGCCCTGCATACCGCGGCCGCCAGACCCCAATTTGTCCCGATGATCCCCGACAATCTCCGGTTTCCCGCCTCGCGCGCTCGACGACAGAACACAACATTACAGAACACAACATTACAGAAACACATGACAGAACGGAATAGAGCATGGCAGCACATAACAGAACATACCAGATCGCCAGCATGACGAAGTAGAGCATGACAACAATCACAAAACATACCAGGGCAACACATGACATAACAGAAGACGACCGAGCACAACATGGCAGAACAGAGCCGAGCATACCACGACTTGTATTTGCAGACCATGCCATATTATGACACGGCATCACAGAGCATATCGCAACACGAACGTAAAGCATAGCGGCGACGAACACGATGGAACACGACTACATGACGCAACATAAAACGACATAACATAGCATGACACCATGGCAAGGTAGAGCATGATAAAACGTCACATGACATACCAGAGCACAACTTGCCATAGCAGAAGACGACACAACACAACACAACAGACTGCACCAAGCATCACAGAGCACACCTTGACCGAGCACATCATATCATGACACAGCATCATAGAACATAGTGTAACACGACAGCAGGGCATAGCGACGACGCGCACGGTAGAACGCAGCATGACACCACAGAACACGACCGAACAGAATACGGTCATATCATAATGTGGCAGAACAGAACATATAAATGACATGACGAGAGAGAGCATGGTATACCATCAAATACCGTACCAACACATACCAGGTTAACACAGAAGACGCAGAACACAACATAATATAACATAGACGATCATACAAGACACGCATTGACACAGCATAGCATATCATGGCAAATCATCACAGAACACATCGTAACACAGCAGATGAGCATAGCATCACATATTAGCAGAACGCATCACACCATACTATACGGAGCCGGGCCGCCGACAAACAACACACCACAATCTATGCCAGAGCATAACATTACAGAGCAGAAGACGGCATAACATAATTTAACGTAACAGCGCCCAGCATGAAATAACACACTTTGACATAGCATATCATATCACGGCACAGCATTGCAGAACATATCATAACACGACACACGGGCATAGCGACGAGGAACACGACAGAACACACAATGACACAACCGAACGAGCCAGGAATGAGCACGAGCATGGCGGAACCTGACAGAACAGAACAGAACATAACATAACAATTCCATGACAAAGTAGAGCATACGATAACATCACATAGCCTACCAGAGCAGAACATGACATAACATAACACGACATAACACAACATGCCGAACTACAGCCGACCATAGCATAGCACATTTTGACAGTACATATCATATCGTACCATGGCAGCATCACAGACCATACCACACTATATTTTCTTTAGCCTAGCTGTCAACAGCTTCGCGATACAGAACAAACTATAGCATAGCCTGGCAGACAGCATGTCAAACACTAGTGCCACATAGCATATCATACCATAACATCTCAAACCATATGGTCACAGTGATGAACATATCATAACATACCCAATCATGATATAATCGGACAAGTTAAGAGGGACCTCGTAACATACGACATATCTAACGTAACAGGCGTCACGATGTCACGCCAGCCCGTCGAGAACAGAACAGGGCATAATATAACATACTATGAAAGAGCGTGACTACATGGAACACGGTTGAACCGTTTTTGAATCCATAAGCGTATTCGAGGAGGACCGTATGAGAGGAGGAGGAGGAAGAACAATAGGGAGGAGAGGTCCACCTCACCTCCCTCCTCTTCCTCTTCCTTCGTTGTCTGCCTCCTCCTCCTCCTCCTGTTGATGCTGTTCCTCTTCCTCGTTTAACAGGCTGCGGCCCTCATGCGTTTCGCATCGCAAGTTGTCGAAGCTGTTTTTGTTCGCCCCGGCGGTTCTTTCAAATTCTTTTGCCAGGAGCTTTGAGGTTGTTGGATCCGGAAACAACGGGATCTGCCACCTGGCCCGACCCCCGCACTTGCTGACACCACAGGGCCCTGCGTGCAGCGTTCCACCAATTAGGCGACCGCGCGAAGTCGGGAACGAACGCTTCAGGTTTCGGTGGGGATCGCTCGAAACAACAGAATTTGTTATAGAAAAATCAGTTCAAACCAAGTGTGGCTCACACTTCAGTGGAGCTGTAACAGAATCGCACCACGCAGTGAATGCTAGCGGTGATGAAGAGGAGGGGGAGGAGGGAGGAGGGAGGAGGAAGCGGAAGGAGGAGGAAGGAGGAGAAGCAGGTTCTTCATGATTCTTTAGGTCAAAGTCTCTGCGCCCGGCTCGCATCGGAAAAAGGGGGGGAGCAGGGTATGGGACAGACAGGGATGCTTGGGGTCGGTGAGGGCCCCCAGACACCTTGCATATATTTATGTATACAATATACATATAACGGCGCACCGGGTCCGGGGGCCCGGGGCCGGGACCTCGACCACAAATGTGGGCTCCGGGGGGCCCGGAGGCTCGTCGGGGCTTGCCGGAGGCCTCCCCGGTCAGACAAGACGGCCCCAGGAGCGCCCAAGACGGCCCAAGAAACTTCCAAGAGGCCTCCAAGAGGGCTCCGAGATGCTGAAGATGGCCTCCAGACGTCCAAGGACGCCCCCAAGAGGCCCCAAGAAGCCTCCAACATGCGTCCCAAGAGGGCCCCTAGACGCAAAAATTGGCCCATTCCCTTCGTAAAACGTGCATTTTCAACAAAGTTGTCTTTTGGGCTTTCCGACGTTACAGGACGGCCCAAGAGGCGCCCAAGACCGCCCCAAGACGGCCCAAGAAGCTTCCAAGAGGGCCCCAGGACAGCCCAAGAGGGCCCCAAGACGGCCCAAGAGGCGCCCAAGATGGCCCAAGAGGGCCCCAAGACGGGCCCAAGAGGGGGCCCAGAGGGGGACCACGAACCGCAAGCTCGAGCCTTCCGCCCCAAGAGGCCGCCAGGAGGCCCCCAGGAGGCCCCTCAAGAGGCCCCAGGAGACCCCAGACGTCCAAGGACGCCCCCAAGAGGCCCCAAGAAGCCTCCAACATGCGTCCCAAGAGGGCCCCTAGACGCAAACATTGGCCCATTCCCTTCGTAAAACGTACATTTTCAACAAAGTCGCCTTTTGGGCTTTCCGACGTTACAGGACGGCCCAAGAGGCGCCCAAGACCGCCCCAAGACGGCCCAAGAAGCTTCCAAGAGGGCCCCAGGACAGCCCAAGAGGGCCCCAAGACGGCCCAAGAGGCGCCCAAGATGGCCCAAGAGGGCCCCAAGACGGGCCCAAGAGGGGGCCCAGAGGGGGACCACGAACCGCAAGCTCGAGCCTTCCGCCCCAAGAGGCCGCCAGGAGGCCCCCAGGAGGCCCCTCAAGAGGCCCCAGGAGACCCCAGACGTCCAAGGACGCCCCCAAGACGCCCCAAGAAGCCTCCAACATGCGTCCCAAGAGGGCCCCTAGACGCAAAAATTGACCCATTCCCTTCGTAAAACGTACATTTTCAACAAAGTCGCCTTTTGGGCTTTCCGACGTTACAGGACGGCCCAAGAGGCGCCCAAGACCGCCCCAAGACGGCCCAAGAAGCTTCCAAGAGGGCCCCAGGACAGCCCAAGAGGGCCCCAAGACGGCCCAAGAGGCGCCCAAGATGGCCCAAGAGGGCCCCAAGACGGGCCCAAGAGGGGGCCCAGAGGGGGACCACGAACCGCAAGCTCGAGCCTTCCGCCCCAAGAGGCCGCCAGGAGGCCCCCAGGAGGCCCCTCAAGAGGCCCCAGGAGACCCCAGACGTCCAAGGACGCCCCCAAGAGGCCCCAAGAAGCCTCCAACATGCGTCCCAAGAGGGCCCCTAGACGCAAAAATTGGCCCATTCCCTTCGTAAAACGTACATTTTCAACAAAGTTGTCTTTTGGGCTTTCCGACGTTACAGGACGGCCCAAGAGGCGCCCAAGACCGCCCCAAGACGGCCCAAGAAGCTTCCAAGAGGGCCCCAGGACAGCCCAAGAGGGCCCCAAGACGGCCCAAGAGGCGCCCAAGATGGCCCAAGAGGGCCCCAAGACGGGCCCAAGAGGGGGCCCAGAGGGGGACCACGAACCGCAAGCTCGAGCCTTCCGCCCCAAGAGGCCGCCAGGAGGCCCCCAGGAGGCCCCTCAAGAGGCCCCAGGAGACCCCAGACGTCCAAGGACGCCCCCAAGAGGCCCCAAGAAGCCTCCAACATGCGTCCCAAGAGGGCCCCTAGACGCAAAAATTGGCCCATTCCCTTCGTAAAACGTACATTTTCAACAAAGTTGTCTTTTGGGCTTTCCGACGTTACAGGACGGCCCAAGAGGCGCCCAAGACCGCCCCAAGACGGCCCAAGAAGCTTCCAAGAGGGCCCCAGGACAGCCCAAGAGGGCCCCAAGACGGCCCAAGAGGCGCCCAAGATGGCCCAAGAGGGCCCCAAGACGGGCCCAAGAGGGGGCCCAGAGGGGGACCACGAACCGCAAGCTCGAGCCTTCCGCCCCAAGAGGCCGCCAGGAGGCCCCCAGGAGGCCCCTCAAGAGGCCCCAGGAGACCCCAGACGTCCAAGGACGCCCCCACGACGCTTCGCGTCACCAATTTCTTCTCACAACGATTCCTGGGTCTGTGACTCGACAGAACCTAAGCGCGCGCGAAGCGCGCGCGTGGTTCTAGTTATATATGTATATAAATATGTATACACACATCTACATACACACACACACACACACACACACACACACACACACACACACACATATATATATATATATATATATATATATGCTGGGGCACCAGGGGCCCAGGGCCTGGGCCAGGACACTCCCAGATATCCCCCCACGACATGTTCGACCCTCTCCGGGCCTCCCGAGCCTCCCCCGCGGTCGCTCAAAATAGCTCCGGATCCCACCCAAAAACGACCAGAGCGGCTTGACAGGGCCGGGGACGCCCGAATATTGTTCCAAGACGGCTCAAGATGCCCCGAACACGTGTCGAAGGCTCCAAGATGCGCCCCGAGAAGGCCCCAGGAGGCCAAGATTGTGCCATGATCTCGGGGGGCAGAGCATATTCAGTAGATTCTCACGTTGGGTTTTGACAGCGTCCAAAACGGCCCAAGAGGCCCCGCAAATCACCCCAAGACGGCCCAAGAGGCTTCCAAGAGAGCCCCAGCACGGCCCAAGAGAGCTCCAAGACGGGTCAAGAGGCGCCCACGACAGCTCAAGAGGCCCCGCAGAGGAGTCCAAGAGGGGGAAGTCCAATTGACATTTCAGGCCCGCCGCCACGAGTTGGGCCCCGAGGCTGCAGCAGGCACCCAAGAGGCCTCAAAGGGCCCCCCCCAAAAACCCAACAGGCTCCCACATGGCCCACATGAGACCACAAGAAGCTGTAAAGCTCGCTCCAGGAGGCGCCCGAAAAACATTCCAAAAAGACCGCGAACTAAAGGTATCCAAGGATCCTCTGGCTCAGAACTCAGGCACAGTAGCAGTATGGGCCGAAGGTCATAGACAAGTACGCAAGTACGTGATCGGTATGGCAGCCATGTGTAGCGCAGGGCACGGGTCTCCCTTCATACACTGCGCGCCGCGGGACAATACGGCAAGATGGTTGCTGCGGAGCATGCGTGCACGGGTGTGTTGAATTCCAGACTTCTTTGTAGGGCAAGATCCACGTGAAGGGTGTGCCGAATAATTCAGATGCCCGCGCGCGAACGCGCCCCTTGAGGCCACAGGTGGACCGAAATGGACGGGGGGACGCCATGCTAAGCTGGCCAGTGGTGTCATAAGTGGAGCTCCTTCTGAGGCATGGTTCGCGTGACGGGTCTGCCGACATGGGCGAGGGAACGTTGTACGAACCTTGTCTCTGGGTCTTTCGGTGGCTCTCTTTGCGGCCACGATCCGCGTGGTGGGGTGTGCCGCAATGGCCAGGGGGGGTTGCAGCGCGAACCTTGCCTTTGGGGCCATAGGCTGAGATCCCTGTGGACCACGATCCGTGTGAGACGTGTGCCGAAGTAGACGGGAGTGCGGGTCTCCGGGGGCCGTCCCTTGAACTCTTGCGGGCCACGGTCCGTGTGACATTTGTGCCGAAGTGAGCGGGGCGAAGCTATGAAGCCTCATTATGATGCCGCAAATGTATTTTTTTGCGGGACGCGATCCGCATCAGCCCGTGGAACAAAATAATTGGGGGTACAAGCCCGAGGTTACCCACCCCCCGCTGGCACAGCTCTGCTCTTTTCACATTGTACCAGGATCGGCGCGCCTAACCGCGCACCTCCGGTCCACGCTGCGCCAGCACGTCACAAATTGTGTGATGTTGCATCACGGCGCAGTAATGTGGTCCCGTTTGGGAGCGAAAACGAGATTCGTACACCCTTGTGTGCGAGGCCTATCTTGGATCGGCGCTTGTCTTGGCCAGGATTGGTGAACGTAGGTGTGTAGTCGGCATCTTCGTATCCCTGTCCTTCGCTCCCTCCTCTCCCCAGTGATCCTTCCAGCCTTTTGCCCCGCGAGGTCACCGACATGCAGTCGCAGGCCCCTCGCCATCCCATTGAGGCAGAAAGAGGGAGGCCAAACATGGAAGGATAAACTTACATGAGGGCGCAAACCAAGACATGAAAAGCAAGAGGAAGAGGAGTATGGCACATAAACAAGAGGCGCAACACGAGGACAAACCGGCTGATATTGATACCGCAAGAGTAGTGCGCGTGATGTTGGTTGTGCTCTTGCGCATTTGTTCATAATTCGCATGAGCGGATCGGAGCACTTGTGCGTCTTTTTGTTCGGGGTGTTACGAGCCGGCTTGACAACGGAATCGTATTGTTTGTCTTCTCGTGTCTGACGCATGTTGCGTCCAGGGAATGTGTTGCATGTGCTTGTTACGGGCCGCGCGTGCCGCCGCAGCACATCAGCATATGTGGTGCAAGTGGCGGCGTTACCTTCCGTCATCACGCAGTAGTAGTTGATCATGTGTCACCAGTGCCCTATTCCCATAGACGTATGGCTCATTGGCCACTGACGGCATGGGCAAACGATCCACACGTACCAAGCTTTTTGAAATTTGTCCTTTGCATTTGTTCATACGTAGCACCCCGCAGTTGCGGATAAGAGTGAGGGGGCGGCCGGGACGTCGGCAGTCTGCGAGGGTCTACAGAAGCCCGCCGCAGGCGCTCAATTTTTACAAGTTATACAACGAGCCCGCCGCAGGCGCCGATTTTTTCGTCAAAGCAATGTGGGTGGGCTAAGGGTGGGTAGCGGATGGATCGCGGGTTGATCGCGGGTCGCGGTTGGGTCGCGGGCGGGTCGCGGGGTGGGTCACGGACGAAGCGGGTGGGTCGCGGGTGGGTCGCTGGGTGGGTCGCGAGTTGGGTCGCGAGTTGGGTCGCGGGGTGGTCGCGGGTGGGTCGCGAGCCGGGTCGCGGGCAGGGTCGTGGGAGGGACGACAACAGCAAGCAACAATCCACAAATCACAAACAGCGCAACAACAATCCGCACCGCGGAATCTCTTTTCAGCCACACACCCAGGGACAGTGAATGACCATTGGTCAGAGCCCCGAATCATCAGGGGTAACTCGGGTCAGGGGTAACTCGGGTTCCTTTTTCGGGAGTCCGAACCCGACTTACCCCGGACCCGAGTTACCCCGGATAACTCGGGCGTCCAGAGCCCCGAATCATCAGGGGTAACTCGGGTCAGGGGTAACTCGGGTTCCTTTTTCGGGAGTCCAAACCCGAGTTACCCCGGACCCGAGTTACCCCGGATAACTCGGGCGCCCAAATTGGGCCCCATCGTTCTGAGATATCATATTATATAGCATCGCAGTAGGCCGGGGGGAGGCCGGGGGCCGATGCCTGGACCCTCCATGGGCGCCCCCCTGGGGGCTTCTCGGGGGCTCCCAGAGCTCCCGAGACGACGGCCCGGGCCCGCCCCGAAACGGGCCACGACAGGCTAAGGGGGTCTCAAGAGAGGTTTAGACGATCCCAAGAGGCCCCGAAGACGCCCTAAGATGCCCTCAAGACGGCCGACGAGGACCCCAACACGCTCCAGGATGGCCTCAAGGCGCTCCCCTAGAGGGCCGTGGGAGGCAACATTCATAGAATTTCCTGATTTGTTTGTTTAGGTTCTCGGCGCTCTCGCTTTTCCCGCTTCCCAGCGCTCCGTCACTGCCTCAGAGGCCCTTCGGATCGCTCCAAGACGGCCCACGAGGCCCCGAAGAGGGGCCCCCAGACGGCCCAGGAGGCTCCCCACAGAAGCCAAATGTGCCCCCACGAAGCGATACTTCGAGGCCTCTGCCCCTGGAGGCCCCGGGAGGCCACCAAGAGGCTTCCAAGAAGGCCCGTGAGACCTTCAAGAGGCCCCTAGGAAACCCCAAGAGACCCCCAAGGGGCTCCCAGGGAACGCCCAAGAGGCCCCCCAGCACACCCCAACAAATCATGTCCCCAGAAAGCCTTCCAGGGACATGGTTCATCATGTGCCCGAGAGTCTCCGGAAGCTCCGAAGTACCATCACGCTACCGGAGAGCCGTCTGGAAAGTTGATTGGGAACATGATTGGTCGCCTTCTTTGCCGACGTCTCCCGACGACGAAGACGACGGCGGCGGCGGCGACGAAGACGACGACGGACTTCGAACTTCGATGTTCGAAACGGTTGTTCAGCCTTTTCTGCCTTCGGGGGTCGTTCTCGGTCCCTGGGGTCGTCGGGCTTCGATCAGGAGTGGAAAACTGCGCTGGATGGATTCTGGAGGGGTCCATCCGACGACGACGACGACGAAGACGACAAAACGACGAATACGGGGACGACGACGACAACGACGCGCCCCAAGAGGCGACGACGACATTACAACGACGACGACGACGACGACGACGACGACGACGACGGCACTCCCAACAGGCTCCCCAAGACGCCTCCGAAAACCACGTCCCCAGAAGGCCTTCTGGGAACCCGAAAGCCTTCCGGAATGCGGATCGACATGCGAACACACGTCACACTATCCAATTGCCGAGCACAGGGAGTGGGGCCAGTTATGGCAGCTCGAACGGCTGAGACAAATCTCAGTGTGAAGATGGACAGCCCTGCCCCGAGTACGAACCTCTGGGGGGAGGGGAGTAGGTGGAGAGCCAGGGGGCTGGGGTGTGGTGGATGAGGAAGGAGAGAGCAGGACATGGGAAACACGTGTGGTTGGGGAGGGGGCGGGGGTGGGGAGGACGTGAGTGGGGTGCAGGGGGCAGGGGTAGGGAGGGAAGGGGGAAAGGGATAGGAGACACATAGACGTATACTCACCGTCGGCCCGATGTTGTTGTCAGTAATTTGAAGGCTTGCTCTCAGGATTTATTGACGCCAGGTCGGTTCTAAATCCGCGTGCGCGGCGAGCCGCGAAAACTGCAGGCGCGTAGAAGATCCCTGGCCTGACGACGCGTTGCAGTCTGACTTCCGAATGTCTCCCTCGAGATTCTCGAAAGCTGCCCGTTCATGTTGCAATCTGGAGCGTGCGGTTTGTTCTATCTGGACGGGGCGCCGAGGGGCTAGGTGAGAGGGGGCAGGCCTGATCAGAAGGCGGCGGAGCGTCTCAGAAGCCTCCTGCAGAAGCCCTCGGTGGCTTCGGAGAAGGATGAGAAAGCTGCTCATCAGAAGGCTGGATGGAGGTCCTCCAGGCCGCCCCCAGAAGGCCCAGCCCCTCTGCCTTCCCCCTGGGCGCAAGGGGAAAGGGGATGGCGGGCAGCGACGAAGCTCTCAGAAAAGGGCAACAGTAGAAGGCAGCAGAAGAGAGCGAGGGAAACGAGTCGGCCCCCGCAAGCGGCCGACTGCATCACCTGCACGCGCGTCAGTGGCGGTTTGGGATATTGCTCTCGAGCCTCCTGCGCTCAAAGGGCGCACTGTTCGGCTACACTTTTTGCGTCGGCGCCTAGGCAGAGTCACTGCGCTGGCGGAAGCGGCGTCGGTGGGATGCACGGAATGCGAATTAGGCCGCCATGCAGGAGGGGAGGGAGGAGGCGCCCGGCGGCGGCGGGAGGGAGGGAGAAGCCGGGCCCGCTCAGAGCAGGGCCAGGCGCGTAGCGGGGAAACACTGTTTGGCTACACGTAAGAGCGTTTTTTCGCCAGAGTGGTTTTTGGTGCGCGGCTGTCAGGGGGCGCGGGGGGATCAAGCCCAAGCACGCAGGCCGGTATTGTCACATCGCGCGCAACGGTCGGGAAGCCGTGCACCAAAGATCACTTCTCCCTGGGGCCACTCCTGCGTGTAAGTAGCGGGTGTATGTCCCCGGCCGACAAGATGGGGCTGATGCATTTGGTGACAAGGGGATCCGACCCGCCTCACACCCGAACACCCTGCACACAGCGGCCGCAAGGTCCAAAGTGTGCAGGTGCTCCCTTGGGATCCCGCCTTGTGTCTTCCATTGGTGGCTGCTGCACGGTGCGGCCGCCAGGCCAAAGCTGGGGTGGTGTTCCTCGGGGATCCCGCCTCATAATCTCGCGTGTGATTCGCTCGAAGCAAGATACTCTCTAGGTGCGTTTGTATGTGCTTAGGTTTATTTGTATACACATCGGTTCTGGCCTTGGGTACCAGTGTCGATGGCGGCTCGATCCGCTATCCGGATTTGAAACACCGCAGGTGCAAGAACGCAATATTGTTACAGCATGCATGTATACGAGTGCCCAAGCATGCCCAGGTATCAGCTTGTAGCAGTAGCGTTCGTAGAGAAGAGGCTGGCCGGTGGAATAGCAGACGCATCGCACGCGGGATTGTCAAGGATATGCGTGCACTTTGTTCGAGCTTGCAGCGCGTTCTGCACACATCTCCAATGATAGTGCCTGCGAAGCGCAGAGAATCCTGTAGGCATCGCTGGCTAGCAGGCCTTCGCGCACGTTTCGGGAAGGCATTGACACATGAGCGTACGACCGCGCACGGCTGCGCCGCGATACATGCTTGCATGCATGTACCTGTGCAGACGCATGCCCTCTCCCTCCCTCCCTCCCTGCCCTCTCTTCCCGTCCTCCCTCTTTTTTTCTGGGCCTCTCCCTCCCTCCCCCTCCTCCTCCTCGACCTCCCTCCCTCCTCCCTCTCCTCGATCGCCGTTCCTCCCTCCAGGTGTCTGATCTGAAGCTTCTGGCCGCCGACCTTCCCCGGCTTCGCGAGGTGGCACCACTGCCTGATGAGGCAGGACGAGGGATAGGGGAGGGAGGATCGGAGCGTGAATTACCTACCCCGCTTTCGCTTCCAGGCAAAACCAAGCCATACCACGCGCCTCCTCGTCAAGCGGCTTGACCAGTACAGGCTGCAATTTGGCATCGTTTGGTATCTCTTGGAAGCGAGGGTGGTCAAAAGCGAGGTAGGTTTGTTTTCCCCCTAGAGGAGGGGGGCTGTGGACGGGGGCCCAGGATGCCTCTCGGCAGGCCCAGGCAGCGCACCACGGCAATTCTCGGCCTCAAAGCTGAGAATCTTCTTGAAAGTGGTTTCCGGGGAACGAGCCCCTCTGTCGGGGACTGAACCCTTCTGCCGGGGGTTACCTCGTTTCTCGGGTACGTTGCCAGACCTCTGGAGACGAAGACTTCGAGCTGGAGCTGCCGTTCGTCATTGTAGGCCTCTGCAGGCCAGGTTCAGGCCCCTGGGCCTTCGGGAAACATCTTCGGGATGGAGAAGCAGTCCTCGGGAAGGGGTCAAGACCTCCAGGGTTCCACGTTGTGAACAGCATTACGCCGTTGAGGGTCTGGTCAGGGGAAGGGGGAGGAGGAGGAGCAGGAGCAGGAGCAGGAGCAGGAGGAGGAGCAGGAGGAGGAGGAGAAGGAGGACCGAGGATAATATTTGGCGACGTTCTATGTAATTAGCCTGGCACCCAGGCTTACCGATCTGGCGATGCGGGCGTACACAGGTGGGCAATGCAGTCACCTGGCCGTGCACCACGTCATGCCGTAGAGTCAGAACACGAGATGCCGGGAAGCAGTCGGTCTTGGCCAGGGGGGAGGCTCGGGGCTGTCGAGTCCCAATTGTCGTGGGCTCTGGCGCAGGATGCAACAACGGAGGGCATGGTTTCATGAGGGCGCAAACCTGTCAGGGGAGGACCGACGTGCATGAAGGCTACCGGCACTTTGCGACAGGGATCTCGAGCGCATGGGCCCGACCTGCACCTCGTCGATCGGTACTCCGTGACAGGGCCCGCGCGCCCATGGCTCCTGCAAAACAGCCGCCCAGGTCTTCCTGGGCGCGTGGGCCCCCGACACGAAGCGTCTCTCTCGACACGGAGCAGTCCGGCCCAGTCCCGACGGGCGCGGAGAGCACCCTTCCTTCGCTCGCAGGCGCTCGGGGGCGCGGGCCTCGGGGAGGGCCCGCACAGAGAAGTACCCTCTGAGAGGTACCCGTCTCACGCGTCGGGCTGGAGCTGCCGAACCTCACCGGCTTCGGTTTTCAGGGGTCGCTTCTGTCCAGCCTCGACGCCGTGGGCCGTGGTCGGGCGGGGTCAGGACAGGGCTAACATCGCTCCAGAGCGTTCCGCAGTGCTCTTGGAGCGCTCCAGAGCGCTCTGAGAAGTCCCCGCGGCGCCTGGTGCATCCTCCAGAACCGCCAGCTCCCAGAGCTCCCCGGTCTCTCCTGGTCGAGTGTTGTCCCTGTCCTGGCTTGGTCTCGCGTGGCTTCGTAGGTCAGGAGGAGAAAAAACACACAGACACAATTAATCGTCCACTCCCAGGAAAATATGGGAAACTATGGGCAGTGGGGGGGAAGACAGAAAGCCAGAAAATATGGGAAAATATGGGGGATAGTTTTATTTGTGTGTATTTGTGTGTGTGTCCCAGGGCCCCTTCAGTAGGGGCCGCAGCTCGACTTCATGGGGGGCCACCTCCCAGGGGGCGCACTGCACGCCCAGGTCGTTCCCCCCACTGCGTGCCACCACTGCCACCACTTGAACAGGGCGCTCCAGGTGAAATCAGGAAAGGTACCTGGTGGAAGCCAGAACGACTACGCCATAGGGTTAACACTAGTGTTAAGTACACAACGACTTTATGATAATTCATCTGTTACGTAAGACAGTAACGTAGGTTTCTAGCATACGCAGGTGGATTATTCAAATGCGCCTCCATCATTTCACCGAGTCTCGGGCCAAGCTCAGAGCTGACGGGGTTATCAGTTGTCAGACTCTCATCATCGGTCGTTTGAGGCTGGAGGGGGGTTCGGGTCACGGGGAGTAGTGGGGGTATGATGAGGAACAGAAACATCAAATCACATGAAAAATCGAGAACACACAAAGGTGTGCCCAAGAATCCCGCCGATTTTTGGGCACAAGATTCTGGGTTCAGTTGCGTGTTGTGTCCCTGTGTTGTTGTATGAACGTCCCTACGTTTTAAGCGTTCTTGCTCAGGGAAGTTTCGACAATCCGAGGTCTTTGGGCTATTTTCTGAATTCCTCTAAAGGGGGTGGCCCGTCTTGGGGCCGTCTTGGGCTGCTCCCACGACTTGCACATCCCTTACATTATTGCTGCTTGAGTTGTTTGTTACAACGCCCGTCCTCTCCCTCGCCCCCCTCCGTCGGTAGCCGTTTTGGCTCTTTGATGTTATATCCATGTTCGCATACCGTTCCATGCGAGTCTCATGCAGCTATTCCATATTGTCCATATTCGCGCTGGTTGCGCTCTTCATGTTTGGCTTTCTCATCTCCGGAGGAGAAGAGGAAGCACCAGCACCAGCGGCCCCAGTGGCCCCAGTGGCAGCCGCAGCACCACCAGCGGCCCCAGTGGCAGCAGCACCACCAGCACCAGCACCAGCAGCACCACCACGCCCACCGCCAGTTCGACCAAGAGGAGGTCGGCTGACGCTTGCGAAAGCTAGACATGTGTCCAGGCGTCTGCGAGAGGAACGGGCCTGTGCCGTTTCGGTGGCCAACCCTACCGTGGCCAATAAAGTGTCCAGCGAGATTTTCAATTTCAGACCGCAGATGCGTGGGAGTTTTGTGAAAGAATCACACTTGACAATAAACGTTTCGAGCACGGTTCAAGTCGACAAGAGACGGCAGCACGACATATTGAAAATGAGAGGAGTTGTTTCCCACCACGGGGCCACGAAACAAGCACTGGAACCATACCTTACCAACGTTGTATCGATGATTTGCAATGATGTTACGGATGAAGCTTCGATGTGGGTTGGGAAACCGATGACAGCTAAGGACAAGGAGGCCCGTGCAGCTTCCGATAAGAGGAATGGCCGAAGTGGTAGGCAGAAGGCCAAAGCAGATGGAAGAAACGTATCCATACCGTGCTTGAATTCGTTGGAGTTTGTATATGTGCAGAAAGCAGACGACACCTCACGCGCGTGGCGAGGAGCGCAGATACATAGCCCGACCCAAGCACTTCCACAGGCAAACTGGTCGACCATGCGAAGCCGAAAACGACAATGGAGCTTGTGCAACGGTGGCCAGGTAGGCGTCAACTTGACAAACAACGTGGGTCAGACGCAACGGTTGCTTGATAGAGTGCATGCTTTGACAAAGTGTTGCACCAGCGATGCTGCGAAAACAAATGACTGCTTGACCCACTGTGAACAAAGAGAGCTTGCCGACAAAAGGGGCGATGGCCGTTTTCGCGTTCACTTGGACGTGCACTGCCAGGGGCACCAGACATGTCTACTGACAAGAAGCGTGTACCAAGCCCAGGGTGATTTACCATCCGCCCTCGTGCGTTTAGGTCACATCTAGGAGGGCGCGACTAACATGAAGAAGTTGCTTGGGGCAGTGGACTCGGTAATCGACGAGATATTTGATTATCGTGAAGTTCTCAGGCTGCCTGATGGGCGCGCTTCTTGGAAGGCAGACTCAGCTTGGATTCTCGAAGCTTCCCAGTCATGCGGTGCGTTATCCGATGCCGACTGCGTCGCAATCTTTAACCGCGACAATGGGAATTGGAAAGATGCAACATACATGCACTATTGCGTCGTCGGCGACTGCCCTAGCGGGTGCGCCAACGGGGACCACAGCAAACAGATTGCAAAAGAGTTGGCTCGGACTTGCATTGGCTCTGGATGCCCCGTGGCGTTATTGTACAGATGGTAGGGGCTCTTGCCTTCGCCTCCCGCGGTAGGGGCCAGCATGATATATTGCCAAGGGCTTTGCAAAAGATGTGGACTCAAAGAGAGGTCGAAGATGCGAACGCGGCAGCACAGGCAGCCAGGAGTGTCGACGAGTTGAGCTTCCAGACAAAGGCGACGGTCAAAGCAGGTGGAGTGATGCGCAGTTTCGACAACGATCACGGTGGTAAACATATCTTCTTGTCCCAGATTTTGACGCAGCCTCTTCAAAGAAATTTGAACTTGGTTATGAAAGCGGACAAGGAGTCTGGGAAACTTACTCACGCTGCGACAACAGGCCTTGCTGGGGAAGACTTTCGCGCCTTCTTCACAGAGTGTTGCAAGTTAAACTACAAGTTCGTGAGTGGATCGCGCGGGCGCTCGGTCCTCTCCGGCTACGCAGACATGATCACGAACCTAGACAGCAACCAGTGGCAGAGATGGAGAATGAACGATACTGACAAGTTGGACGCTGCTTATTTGGCTCTAACTGCGGCCTCTGGTGCCTGGCGACGTCTTGTCTTCTATTTCGAGGATCCCAGGTTTCGGATTTTCGAGCTCTGCACGCAAGACGGTGGCAGCGAGTTCAACTACTCCGCTGACTCGGCGCTTAACTCCTTGACTGCCCTGAAGGGCCGCGAGACTTGTAGGGCTTGCTTCGACGACTCTTTCGCCGCGGAGATGGTAAGGTTCTTCAACTCTGATCCTGAGAAGGCCCACGCTCATCTAACTGGCGCGCTCGCCCACCTTCGCATGGGCAGCGCGAGCGCCGAGCGAAGACATCTCCACGGGCAGTCTCCGAAGCCAATCAAGTCACGAGGCGTCGCAGTCGACGCGACGAACCTTTCGGTAAACACTTACGTTCAGAGCGCAGTGCAAGAGGCCAAGTTGAACTCTGATATGGTGCACAAGGCCGTGCTGGGCCGATACGGGATGACCCTTAACCAGTGCCATGCGTTGTCCAGGAGGTTCCGTTTGGATGGCTCCCGTCAGTCGTCGAAGGATTCGCAGCACGTCGAGGTCACGACTCTGGAGAAAGCTGCGAAGGCGAATAAGGACACGGTGGCTTATCAACGCTTTCGCTCGGAGAAGTGGTCGCGTCACTCCCCCGTCGGAAGCCAGGAGTTCGTGGCCGAGGAGAGGCGGATCAAGGATTTGTGGGCAATCGCGACAGACGACGATAAGGCTCTGCATCGGGGACATGTTGCCGCGATGTCCGAGACCGTCGCCAACGTCCTGGGCGACCTGACCATTGCCAATATCGAGGCTGCCCGCCCTCAGCTGGGCGATAACAGGTGCAAGCTCTTAATGCAGAAGTTGTTTATCCAAGTCTTTCAGGATATCGAGTCGCACGCGGCGTGGGATGCAGGACTGGGCATCGCTTCTTCATCGTCGGCACTGCGCCCTGACAAGGTGGGCGCAAGCATCGCGGAGGCGACTTGCAGGGGCACGATAAAGTCAGCTTTCGGCTACGACGAGAAGGTGGTGGACAACCCCCCAGGGACAGCCATTCCGACGCGGTCGTGCCACTCCAAGAACTGGGGGGTCTGCAGCCTGGACCGCTGGCTACCAGCAGCAAGGTTCGGCGTGGAGAATATCTACAAGCTTCTGAAGCGATGGAATATTCGTCGGGATATGCTACCTGCGACTGCGTCGTTCAGCTTGCACGGCACAGTCAACCACTACGTCATTGCAGACACTTTCGGTAAAGGTGAAGGAAGCTATATTCTTGCTGCGGCTGGAGCCTACAGGAGTTCACGACACCTTCAAGCCGCTGGTCGTGGTTGAGCGCGGCTTCAGACATATAGCATCGATGACTGGACAGATGGCGATTCGAGGTTTCGCGATTCGATGCGGCCTCGACCCTTTAGTGGTCGCTGCGGGTTTGCGCATCAAGTTCAAACTGCACAACGTCGAGAAGGTAGCGCACAACCGAGGGCTCGCCATCAGGATCATCGGCACGTCCCACGAGGAGGAGGTCCCTCTGAATGCCAGGCTAGCAGGCGCTGAGAAGATAGACAAGCCGAAGGATGTGAGTTTTACTTTGCCCTTTGGTCTCAAGCCTGAAGGCGAGGACTACTCGGATCATGATCACGACGTCGTGGACGATGACGTCATCAAGATTGCCAAGGTTGCGAAGACTGGCAAGAGCGACGCGCCTGGAGATCCTGATCCAGGCGTGCGGGGGAGGAGGAGCGAGGAGGAGGAGGGATGAGGAAGGATGGGGGGCAGACGACGACGACGGGGGAGGAGGAGGAGGAGGCGGAGGAGGAGACGCCACGAGGAGGAGGCCCAGAGCAAGACCTTTACAAATCTGGATTTAGGATTTTGGGTCGTGGAAACCAGACGGAGCACCGGGGAACCCCAGCGTTTCTGACCCTATGATTCCCCGCTCGCTCTGCCTCTCCCCCTGCTCCCCCGCCCTTCCCAGGCCGCGTCGTCGACGACGGCGGGGACCAGACCGACATCGAGGAGACCGTCGAGCCCGACGAGGTGAAGAAGGCGGGGGATTTCAATCTAGATGCCATCCCATCGGGCCTTCGGTTAGGTATCATTGCCTCGCAGTGGGCCCCGAACAATAGGTCTAAATGCTTTGTGTGTGACCAGAACAACTTGCCTCCAGCTCTGTGTAAGATCACCCGGGGCCAGTTTAAATTCTGGTTTCGGGATAAACCGACGAAGCTAGAGAAGTCGTTGCACCACTCATGTGTGAGCAATGGTAATGTCTTGCCTCATTGCACAGACAGCCACATTAGACAGAGCTTGGCGCTCCTCCATAATGCCTCGCTGAAGCCAGGAGTTTCGGATGAGGAGAAAGCGATCCTCTCCAAGTGTCACGATCGCTTGTCTGCAGTTGGTAGTGGTGGCCCTTCAGCGGCCTCGACTGGCTAGCACGGCTTCGTGGGATATCGAAAAAGCTCTGGCAGTCACGCTCCTCCCAGCAGGTGATTGGGCCTCGTCGGGGGCCTTGCCCAGGTGTTCAGCCCCCCCCCCCCCCATCGGCAATCGAATCGACCTCGCCAGGGGGGCTGCAGCGCCGTGCCCGTGGCGAGGCCTGTGGCGAAGCCTCAGTCTGAATTTGGTCTTAGTGGGTCTTAGATTGGTCTTAATTTGGTCTTAGCTGGTCTTAATTTGGTCTTAATTTGGTCTTAGCTCGTTTTTTTGGAGAATGTATCAGGGATTCTGGCCGTTTGAGTTTGGTCTTAATTTGGTCTTAGTTGGTCTTAAGTTGGTCTTAATTTGGTCTTAGTTGGTCTTAGTTGGTCTTAATTTGGTCTTAGCCATGGTCCTCGTCCCTTGCCAGCCCTGGGCTCGAGGCTTCGCCCCGACTGGCGCGGCGGAGGCGCCGCGGCGAGGTCGACCGCTTGCCCCGACGGCGGTCGGCCAGGGGGGCGAGGCCGGCTGTCTTGAGGCTCCCTTGAGGCTGTATGGGGGCCCTCCTGGACTCCTGAAGCCCTGCTCGGGGGGACCCCCCCCCAGCTCTATGAACCCTATTGGGCCCCACTTACTTGGAACCCTATGGGCCTTCTTGGAGCCCCACTTGGAACCCTATGGGCCCTACTTGGAACCCTATGGGGCCCCACTTGGAACCCGATGGGCCTTCTTGGAGCCGTCTTGTGGCCGTCTTGGGCCTTCTTGGAGCCGTCTTGTGGCCTATGGAGTCTCATCGGGCCACCTGGAGTCCCCGTGGACCCCCTCCGATCGTCGGCATTGGGCTCTCGGCGTCTTCCCCTATCATACTGCCATGGCCATTTTAGCATTCCGAGAAGCTGAGGCCGCGACTGTAGTTCACGTCCCACATCCAGTTATCATGGGGAAGCAACCGCCCAAGGTTGTGCCCAAGTATCGCGGCTCTCGTCAACTACCGCAAGCCCCGAGGGCGGGGATCCAACGCAAGAGTCAACCTCCATCAGCCCTCCCCGATGAGCAGGAGGCGGACCGCGAGTTCAACTTGGCGTGCGGCATGTGCGACCAGAACTACGGTGACGTCGACAAGGACTCCCCCGCCCAGCCGGTGGTGAAGTGGACGAAGGGCAACACGTCGAAGTGCGGCAAGTGGAAGCCGTCGGGGAGGGAGTGCGACGACTGCAGGCTGAATCGGAGGAAGCATCACAAGGACCCCGAGACTGGCTACCCCATCACTCTCGACGCGATGCTCGCGAAGAGGAAGGACCCGAAGATGGATGAGAAGATCCAGAGTGATCGGTCGGCGCTCGTGCGAGGTGACACTAAGTATACGAGGGTCGAGGAGGGCAAGCAGAGCACCGAGGTCGTAGAGGGGTTCTCGGACTTCAAGGAAGGCTATGTCGAGGGCTACTTCTACAAGCTGTTCGATTACGCTCGGCTGCTCGACCCGAACGAGGATTTCGAAGGCTGGACTCCGCAGCAGGTGATCGAGTGGATGGGCGATAACTACCCAGACGTTGAGGTCTTGCATGACAGGTTCGGCAACCTTGGAGTGAAGGAGCAGAACATGCCACAGGGGGCAGCACATAAGTACAGGGAGGGGACTTCGGACACGACAGCTTTCAGGAAGATCTCCAAGTTCGAGGACGGCGCCGCCGACGTCGCCGCGGCGGCGTTCCAGGAGCTGCAGCGCGGGGGCGTGGAGCGCGGCGACGAGGATGAGCCTACTCCAGCGGGGCCAGCACCTTCTCGGCCTTCTGTGGCTCCCCCGTCGCTCGCGCCGAGGCTCCAGAGGCGACGGTTGGCCAACGCCCTTGGGGGCGATGCGTCTTCATCGGTCTCGGGGACCCCTCAGCCTGCCCCTGAGCAGCGCGCCGACTTGCAGCAGGAGACCCCGTCGTTGAAGGGCGTTCACCCCGCGAAGTCCCTCGCCGTCGGCATTGGGAAGGCGTCGCGTCCAGATGATGCTCGGTCGGATGCAGGCTCCGCCTTCGGCAACGATGGCGACGCAAAGGAGGAGTCCAGGAAGATGTCGGCTCTCACGAGCCAGCTGAGGTCGCACAACATGGAAAAGGTCATGGGCGCATGCAAAGACATCTTGGGCGTCGCTTCCGACAAGTACGAGAACTCCAAGCTGTGGGATCGCCCCCCACGTGATCGGACATTGACTTCTCGGATCGACCTGCTCACAAATGCGTCGAATAAGTGCTCCCGCTTGAAGGCGGGAGACGAAGATGGTCATGGGGGGGATGCTGTGGCTGGCATGGCGCAGAACCTCTTAGACGAGGCCGAGCGCTTGAAATTCGTCGGCCAGCTCTTCAAGGACGCTCGCAATAACCCCGTGGCTTTCTTGAATAAATCGCTAAACGTGGCTCAGAAAACAATCGTCCAGAAGATGGCCCCGGAGTTGGTGTCGAATGTATTCGTCGCTGCAGGCGTCGGGGCAGTTTCGAAAGTAGAGTTCACGGGCCTCGCCAGTGCTGATGCGCCTGCGGTGGCGGCTGCCATGGCAATCCTGAGGTTCGCTGCCTTCAAGGACGACGGCTCGATGAGCTGCAGCCTCCTCCCCGAGTCGTCTCGTGACAGGGCGCAGCAGACCGTTGTCATGGAGCTCGTCGAGAAGACGCTCGCCGCGTCCTCCGACGACTACCAGAGCACGCGGGCTGCCCTCGTCGGCGCGGGGGCCCCCGCATATATCCATAACTATTTCTCGGGCTGCGAGATACCGCCGATCTGGTCTCGGCAGGCCTGCGTGGACTTGAGCCTCGGCGCGTCTTTCTCTGGTTTGCTGAAGCACGGCGTCAACGCGGGCCCCCAGCTCGCCACCGTCGCCAAGGTCGCGATGGAGAAGAAGTGCGAGACCAGCTTGAGGCTCCGAGCTTTCTCGAACAAGAGGGGCAAGCCCAACCATCTCGGAGTCTTCTGCTGGGACACGGTGGACAAGGTCGCCGCCTTGGGAACGACCTGCAGTCGGCGGCGGCTCGTTTCAAGGGCCTCTGGAGCGAGTTCAGAGACATCCAACTCCCAGTTGATAACTACGACGCTACCTTGCAACTGGTCGGACAATTTATCGATGAAGGGCAGTCCGTCAAGATCCTGGACGCGGTGCAGCCGATGACCAACATCGACAGCGAGACACAGTCGCAGGACATCGACGTCACCATCGCCAAGACTTGGTTCTCGAAGCTGATGGGCGACCTCGAGGAGGTCATCGAGGGGGCTATTGGTGAAGCTCTCACCCCGCACGTCATCGATGGGATGCTGGAGCCTCCACCCGATGGCGGATTTGGGCAGGAGGAGGACACGCGCAGGGCTGCTGCAACGTTTCGTTGCATGATGCAACTTGTGATCTTTCACGACAACTTGGAGTCGGCGCTGGATCGTGGCCGGCCTTGGGTTAAGCTGATGTCTGAGTTTCGGGCCAGGCTCAATCTTCTCGTTGACGTCAGCCAGGCAGCGCTGTGCGAGAACGACACGGACTACTTGGGCGTCCTCCGCACTTGGTCTTCTTTCTGGGTTCGCGAGCAGCGCATCGCCGTCACCGACGTGTCGCTCGGGGCGCGGAGGAGTGAGGCAATGAACGCGCTGACGGTCTTGCGATCGTCTTCGATCGAAGTCGCGGCGACTCGCGCTTTCAAGAATGTGCTGGACTTTCGCAAGGGGCTCGATGACGGCATCATCCAGTTGGCCACCCAGCTGAAGGACACCTTCCCGAAAGCGTGCAGCAACCTACTAGACGAGGCCAAGACGCGCGACAACATCGCTGCAGTTCTGGGTCGGCTGTCCAAGGATGAGCCCGTCAGCCTCATCGAGATAGCTGGAGCTGCCGCCGACGGCCATGAGCTTCTCAAGCAAGATGCCGACGCGACCTTGATGGCGGAGGTGATGGCAGCCTACGGAAACGCCGTCGACTCGTTCATCGCGTCATCGAAGGGGGTCTTCGAGTTCGATCGGCTCCACGGCTTCTTCGAGGTGGTGATCGCAGCGCGCGAGACGGGAGACTTCTCGAGTTGCCCGTGGATGGAGAAGACGAACGACCAGGGCATCATCGAGGACATGGGGTTATATGACCAGCTGTACAAGACAGCCAATTCAACGTTCCGCATCGCCGAGGCTACGTTGAAATTGATGTTGAAGTTCGATGGCTGCGCCAAGAGGGTGTCGGACGTGCAGGCAGTGAGCGACGAGAACAGCAAAGTATCGAAGATGGAGGGTGATGTCAAGATGATCATCGCGACGGCGTCTATTGGCAACACGCTCTTTCAGAGGCCCAGGCTAAAAACGTACACGTCCGACGTCGAGAAAACGAAGGCCCACTGCGTGAAGACAGGTGTGCAGATCTCCAAGTTGGGCAAGTTCTTGCGGGACGTCCTCAAGGAGGCCGAGATGGTGGACAGCATCGCGGTCGAGGCTGACGCAGTCTCTGTGAGCTCCAAAGACACCGCCGCCGCCGCTCCCACGGATATCGATGGCAAGTCGGACCACGCCCAGCCCAGTTCGAACAAGCGCCCGAGAGTGTCGAGCGGTTTCGCTGCCCTCAAAGTGCAGAAGAGGTGAACGACGACGGCGACGGTGGTTGCATTATTTACTCCCCCTCGTTTGGCAGTGGCTGGATGATTTATGTGCTGTGCGATTGGAGCTGGGCGCAGCTCACTGAGGATGAGCTGAGTGAGACGCACAGCGCTGAGTTGAAAGCTGCGGGGCGTTGCCAACCAAGGATGCTTAGACATTCGAGCACAGGACTCCAGCTGGCGGTGACTGGCCGCTGGAATATCTTCATCGGCATTTCGATCGCTGTCGCAATCGCCGCGAGCGCCATCCCCCACATCGGCGAGCGAGGAGCGAGAGAGGGTCGTCGTCGTCGTCGTCGTCGTCGGTCGTCGTCGTCGTCGTCGTCGTCGTGGGAGAGTGGGGGCGCACCCTCGAGGCTCGAGGGGGGAGGGGGATGGGGGAGAACAAGGATGAGGATGAGGAAGAGGAGGAGGATGAGGAGGGGGAGGAGGAGGCGGAAATAGAGACGGAGGAGGGGGAGGAGGAAGAGGAGGACGGGGAGGAGGAAGAGGAGGACGGGGAGGAGGAGGGGGAGGATTGAGGGTGAGGATTTGTTTTTTGTTACTGGTTAGCGTCGTCAACCAAAATGGCTTCCAAGCGGCGCACTACGACGACTCTGGCACCGAAGCGGCCAGAAAGTGCAATGGCCTGATCGGCTTTGGCGGGCACCCCATGCGGTTTCATGGTTTCGGCGCGTCTAAGCTGCGCCAAGAAACGGCCTCGTTAGGTGGCTCGTTTGCTGTATCGAGCAGTAAATTGCAACGTTGTAAACGAGTTGCTGGTACGGCAACGCAGCGATGCGGCTTAGACGGCAATGTCTGAGCCACAGGCTATAGCACGTGGCGTAGTCGCGGTTGGCTTGGAAGGGGGGTCTGTGCACACCCCCTTGCCTGCTCTGTGGTGTGCCCCAAGTTTCACCTACAGCGCTTCTTTCAAGCCACCACCGCCTCCACTGCCACCACCGCAGAGGCAGGCATCCAGAAGGACGCGTGGGCAAAAGAGCGCGCGATTGGCAACCCTCGTGAATTACTAATCGAGAGACGGAAATAGAAACGCCTCACGACTTGTGAAGCGGAGCGTAAAGCGCCCGACTGTGACGCAGAAGTGCGGAGGTGACAACAAGGTGGAACGAATCGCGGTTCAAGCGCAACTGAGGTTTGACGAGTTGACAATTGAGACGGCTTGTATCAAGGAGACCAACACATCTCTTACTAATTGTTTACGCTTCGCGAATCCCTACCAGCCCATTCAGAAGCCCTGCCCATGAGAGCCGACTGGAAATGACACGAAGAGACACATATTGTGACACAGAGTGTGCAAGGAGAGGAGAGGAGAGGAGGATGTTGAGCCATCTTGGAGGCAATCTTGGAGCATCGGAGCCCTTCTTGGATATACGCGGCTGCATTGGGGATATTAGGGGTCCTCGTGGAGCTCTTTCAGGGCATCTTGGCGCCCTCTTGGGGCTCTCTTGGGGGGCGTGGGGTCCTCTTGGAGCTCTTTTGGGGCGCCTTGGGATCTCATAGGGGCACTCTTGGGGCCCTCTTGGGGCCCTATTGGGGCCTTTTTGCGGCTCTCTTGGGACTCTCTTCGGGGCCTTTTAGAGGCCCTGGAAAGCCTCTTGGGGCCATCTTAGAAGCCATCGATCGAAAAGGGGGGAGGGTCCTATATGTAGCCCACCCCAAAGAGCCCTCGGAGTCGCCTCTTGTGGCTGTTTTGGGGCGCTCTTTTGCGGTCTTGGGGCCGTCTTGGGGCCGTCTTGGGGGTTGGCGCATCTTGGAGCTCTCTTGGGCCATCTGAGGGCCATCATGAGGGCTCAACAAACGCGTCGGAAGCGAAAAGGAGAGGAGGCACACATCATTGATGTTACTAAAGTGTTTGAATGATTTCGGCTTCTCGGGAAGGTCCTGAGGGGTCTCCAAGAGCACTTGGTTCCGTCTTGTGGCCATCTTGCGGCCTCTTAGAGGCATGTTGTTAGCTGTCTTGAGCCATGTTGGGCTATCTTGAGCGATCGTGAATGGCATCATGGGCGTTCTGAGGCCCTCTTGCAGCAATCTTGGGCCATCTTCGGCGCTCTGACACATGCGGCCCCTCCCCGACAAGGTCCACGGGAGAGGGTAGGGGTACACCCCTCCCCAAAGGGGAAGAGGGGCTTTTGGAAGAGGGGCTTTTGGAAGACGTGGCCTCTAGCCTACCGCCAGGGTTCGACGTTACTGATAGACTGATACAAGGGGAGGGTTTGTGACAGCAGGTGGTGGATGGCATGACCTGGGCGTGACCACCCCCGAGGGTCCGTTTCAATCCGATCCATCTGACTCGATGTCGATTCAGGCCGGCCCGATCGGATTCGCTTCCGAAACTTTGATGATCCAATGCGGCTTGGTGTTTGCATGGCGTTGTTGTGCTTCATCGCGCAGCTGATCGGATTCGGTTCCGATTCCGTGCCGATGCAGCCGGACCTGATGCACACTTCGATGCTTTCAGGGTCGATTGCAGTCACGACCTACCGTACACCGTCCTCGAGGCGTGACGCAGATCCTGGTGAGTTCTGGGATCGATCTGACGCTTGGGACCAAACGGCCACGACCCAGCCCGAACGGCCAGCACTTCCTGCACTGGCGCGGGGAGCTCATGCGCCCACCGGCACTGCGCGCGGGGAGCGCACGAGGCTCTTGCGAGAGCCGAGGGCGCGTGGGTTCCTGTTTTCAGGGCTTCAAACCATGTTGGAAATTCCTGCAGGGGCAGTCGGTCCAACCCATCGGACGGTCCCCGATCTTAGCGGCGAAATCTGGACCCTACCCTGGCCGGTCAACGATTCTGGCACCTCGATAGGCGGCGGGGGTAGGGTTGGGAATTCGTCGAATGCGTGGCGCAATCCGAACCCTACCCTCGCAGCCCATCGATTCAGGGAAATCTATGGTTGGCGGGGGCAGGGTGCGGATGTCGCCACCTACGATCGTTTCCTGCCGAGGCTCGGGCAACAGAACGCATGTTTGACCTGAGTGGCACCAGGATCAGCAGTGCAATCGGGCGTGCCTTCCTGCACGCCTCCCGCAGTAGCCGGCGGCCGAAAACGGCGGAGGGCGTGCGTGGAGATGTTTGGAGCGACTTTCGACACTCGAAGGGCCGATGAGTCGATGGATGACTCGCGCCGCTCTCATCTCTCTGCTGACGCGCGTGTCGTCCAAAGCACTGCGTGCGCGGCCGCCCATCGCTCGCCGTGGCCTCAGCGACGAGCCGCGAGGCCCACGCTGCATCCAGGGGGCCACGGGCGCGAGCGAGCGCAAGAGGCGCTTCGAGAGAGCACAGCGAGCGGGTGCGGTAATCGCAGAAGGGAAAGTCGCCATACACATAAACTGTTGGCGCTTCGCGTGGATTTCTTGGATCCGCGCTGGGCCTCCCCTGGCGGCGCCTCCGGCGCCAGATCCAAGAAATCCACGCGAAGCGCCAAGAGTTTATGTTTATGGCGTTTTTCCTCTCTTCTCGGTAAGCGGGGAGAGGCAGCCGACCGAACCGATGACCCTACCCCATGCCCTCCCCGCCAGTCTAGAACGGCTTCGATCCGCCGGCGCCGCGACCCCTCCCACGCCCCCGGCGGCGCCGTCGGCGCCACATCAGCCAAGCCGGCACCATTCGTATGACGGGTCAATCATTTTTTATGTTAAAGAATATATTGGGGGTTTGCGGCAAGCTCATCAGCGATGCAGCAACAGCAATGGCAACAACAAGCTACAACCACATGATAAGCAACGGCGACGTGAGCAGCAACCACATCAGTCAAAACGGCAGAGGTCTCGGATAACGAAATTCTGATTGCCAGGTCAGAGCCTTTTAGTCTAAAACAGATGTTGGGGAAACTCCGCTCTGAAAAAGCAGAACAAAGGCTTTGGGCCAGTTTGGCCACAGGGCATGGGGACACCCGGGGGGCCAGGGGTGCGGACATGGAGGGAGGAGGAGCGACGAACATGGCAAGAGCGAAAACAGAAGGCTCTGGGCCAGGGAAGGACACTGGGGAGGGGCCAGGGGGAGACGGTGCACCACGAACGATGGACGGAAATCATCGAAAATAGAGGGCCCCGAGCTCTACAGCACGGCTGCGCAAGAGAAGGTAGGGATAATTACATGCAGGAACAGGGCTAGGAAGAGGAGGGCGACGTGGATGATGACGACGACGAGAGCAGGAGGACGAGGAGAAGGCGAATTAACATGATGAGGAGTGCCGGTTTTCCTCTTTCTCATCTTCCCTCCGCCTGTCGTCAGCCAGCGCTCCCACAGCATCTCAGCCTGTCATCAGCTGAAGCTCTGGTATGAGGTATGATCTCAGCTCAGCTCGCGAGGCACTCGCCCAGCCTGTGAGCACGGGAAACAAACAAATCAGCTCAGCTCCTCCCTCCTCACGCCTCCCCTCTCCTCCATCCTGTCTCCTCCCCCCCTCGCCTAAATGCACAGACGACGCCCTCCCCGACGTGGACGATGTCGACGGCGGCGGCGGCGGCGGCGGCGTCCACGTCCTGTCCGAGGACGGCCGCCGCGGCGGCGACGACGACGAAGTCCTTCGGCGGCGGCCTGCCGCGACGGCCGCCGGCTGCTGGCTGGCGCGCCTTGCCCGAGGTCGCCGACCACCCGCGGCGGCCGTCGCCTGCGACGGCGCTGCGGTGA